TGTTAGATTCTTTAACATAACTTTTTAAAGAAAAATAATACTGAAGCCACCCTTTTCCTCCAAGGTAAGTGTCTCATTAAGTGGAGACAAAAGAAAAGTTCAGCTTTCCGAATGAAAGCTTTGTTAATAAGTTGCTGTATATTTATATATCTCTTTGGCCGGGCGTGGTGGCTCACGCTGTAATCTAGCACTTTGGAGGCCGAGGCGGGCGGATCGCTCAAGGTCAGGAGTTCGAAACCAGCCTGAGCGAGACCCCGTCTCTACCAAAAATAGAAAGAAATTAATTGACCAACTAAAAATATATATACAAAAATTAGCCGGGCATGGTGGCGCATGCCTGTAGTTCAGCTACTCGGAGGCTGAGGCAGTAGGTTGCTGAGGCCCTTGGAGATGAGGTTGCTGTGAGCCAGGCTGACGCCACGGCACTCACTCTAGCCTGGGCAACAAAGTGAGACTCTGTCTCAAAAAAAAAAAAATATATAATATATATATTATATATATATATCTCTTCTGGTGAGGTATCTGTTCAGATATTTTGTCCATTCTTTAATTGGGTTTATTTTCTTATTGTTGAGTTTTAAGAGTACTCTGTGTGTGTGTGTGTGTGTATACATACATACATATATATATATATATATATATATATAAAACAGGATCTCTCTCTATGTTGTCCAGGCCTCAAGCGAACCTCCCACCTTGGCTTCCCAAGTGACTGGGATTACAGGAAAAGTTCTTTGTATCTTTTGAATACAAATCCTTTATCAGATATGTGTCTTGCAAATATTTTTTCCCAGTCTGTGCCTTGTCTTCTCATTGTCTTAAAGGTGTCTTTTAAGAGCAGAATTTTTTAATATTAATGAATTCCAACTTATTTTTTTCTTTCATGGATCATGCTCTCGGTGTTGTATTTAAAAACTCATTACCAAGCCCAGGGTCTCCAGATGTTCTCATATGTTGTCTTTTAGAAGATTTATAGTTTGTTTGTTTGTTTTTCTGAGACAGGGTCTTGCTCTGTTGCCCTGACTGAAGTGCAGTGGCATCATCATAGCTTATGGTAACCTCAGACTCCTGGGCTAAAGTGATCCTCCTGCCTCTGCCTCCTGAATAGCTGGGACAATAGGCATGTACCACCACACTCAGCTGATTGTTCTATTTTTTGTAGACATGGGTCTCACTATATTGCCCAGGCTGTTCTCCAACTCCTGGCCTCAAGTAACGCTCCCACCTTGGCCTCCCAAAGTGCTGGGATTATAGGTGTGAGCCATCGTGCCCAGCAAGTTTTACAGTTTTATGTTTTGCATTTAGACCTACAATCCACTTTGAGTTAATTTTTGTAAAAGATGTAAGGTCAGTGTTGTATTAGTTTTATTATTGTTTTGCACATGGATGTCAGCTGTTCAGCATCATTTTTTTAAAAAAACTGTCTTCATTCAATGAATTGCGTGTTGCTCCTTTGTCAAAGATAAAAAGATATTATTCTGTGGGCTACTTTCTGGGATCATATTCTGTTCCATATGATCGATTTGTCTGTTTTTCACTATACACAATGCATCGTCTTGATTATTGTAGCTTTTAGTAAGTCTTGACGTTTGGTAAGGTTTTCTTTTTCCAAATTCTGTTTCTCTTCTTGGGTCTTGGTATCCTCATAAACCTTTGATCAGTTTGTTGAAATCCATAAAAAACTGTCTGGATTGACTGGGCTTTTTGCTTAATCTATAGATCAAGTTGGAAGGAACTGGCACTTTATAATGTTGAGTTCTCCAGATCCATGCAGTGGATATCTCTCATTTTATTTAGCTCTTCTTATTTCTTTCATCAGTTTGTAGTTTTTTCATATAGACATTTTATGCTATTAGATATATTCGTAGTATTCATTTTGGAGGTGTTAATGTTACTGGTGATGTTTTTTAATTCAGTTCCTGTTCACTGCCTGTAATAGGAATAATTGACTTTTATTTATACTTGCTGCAACTCCTGCAACCTTGCTATAATTTTATATCTCCAGAGGGACGTTTTTTTTGTCAGTATTTAGGATTTGTCTACAATGCATTATGCCAGTTTCTGGAAGAAAGATATTTATCTCTTCTCTTTTCGTGTGTATATCTTTTGTTTTTTGTTCTACTATAGTATCTAGTGGCTTGATACTTAGATAGGAGTGATGGAGAAGAGCATCTTTGCCTTATTCTTGATCTTAGGGCAAGCATCTATTTTTCCACATAAGTAGGTTTAGCTATAGAGTTTGTTTTTTTTTTTTAGATATTCATTATCAAGTTGAGGAGCTGCCCTACTTTGCTGGAGAATTTGTATCACAAGGATGAGTGTAATTTATTTGTTATTGATTTAATTTTTTAAATATTATGGTCCTTGACTTTTTATGGTTATTATCCTTTTATGTTGAGTGTAAAGTTCTCTATATATTGATATAAATATAATATCTTATCAGATATATGAAGAGCAAATATTTTCTACCATTGTGGGGGTTTCTTTGCACTTTCTTATGGGTGCTCTTTGAAGCATAAAAAGTTTTTAATTTTGATGAAGTCTCATTTATCTTTTTTTTTGTGTTTATGCTTTCGGTGTCATACCTAAAAAACCATTGGCCTAATCCAATCAGAAAAATTATCCTAAGAGGATAGTTCATCTCTTAATTTAGTCTCTATCATTTAATGTTAAATTTGTTATGGTGAGAAGTAGGAGTCCAATTCATTCTTTTATATGTGTAATTGTTGTCTCAACATATAATGTACCTTTTTAAAGCCTTGTCTGCTAATTTAACATCTAGTCATCTGTGGATCTGTTTCTATGACTTATTTTTCTATAACCATGGATTATATTCCAATTCTTATTATGAGTGTTTGCGCCCCTGATGTTTGTCTTGGAGAAATGACCTGACTGAATCCTGGGTCACTCCTGGTCTGCAAGTCTCCCTGGCTCACCTGAGGGCTGCTGAAGGGATCCAATTTGGCCTTGAGCTTGGGTCAGTTGTGGAACAGTCTGTTTGCTTCCAGCCCCAAGGTCTGGCGTAGAATTGGACAAGAGCTGGGGAAGGGTAGGGTGAAGGGGTTACAGATGCGAGCTGCACTGCCTGAACATGCCTCCGCACCCTCCGTCTGGGATGCTGTTCTTCTGGATGTTGGGTGGCCATTTTTCCTTGATCTTTTCCGCTAGCTTTGTTGTTTCCTCTTTCAACAGGTCAAATGGATGATGTACTGGATTATATTTGCACTTTTCACCACAGCAGAGACATTCACGGACATCTTCCTTTGTTGGTAAGTACTCCGGGATTTGGGACATTTTAAAGGATGATTTTTCCTAGTGTCGGGAGAGGTGGGAAAGGGCTGAAACCAGCCTCAAGCCTTATCTCAAGCCAGAGATGCAGTGCAGAAATAGTAATAGAAACATTTTTAATAAGTTAGTCTGTGAAAGTTGTTTTTCAAGTAAATACTTATTGAGTTTATAAGAGCAAGTATTGTTCTAGGCACTGGGGAAGTAGTAATGGATAAGACAGGCACAGTTGCTCAATTAATGAAGTTGGTAAAAAAAAATCCAGATGTTAGAAATAAGAACAAAGGAAACAGTACACAAAAGTATACAGTAAGGCCAGGCACAGTGGCTCATGCCTTATAATCCTAGCACTCTGGGAGGCTGAGGTGGGAGGATAGCTCAAGGTCAGAAGTTCAAGACCAGCCTGAGCAAGAGCAACTTGCTCTTGCTCAACTTGCTCCTGTCTCAACTAAAAATAGAAAGAAATGAGCTGGACAACTAAAAGTATAGAAAAACTTAGCTGGGCATGGTGGCACATGCCTGTAATCCCAGCTATTCAGGAGGCTGAGGCAGAAGGATTGCTTAAGCCAGGGAATTTGAGGTTGCTGTGAGCGAGGCTGATGCCATGGCACTCTAGCCCAGGCAACAGAGCGAGACTCTGTCTCAAAAAAAAAAAAAAAGTATACAGTAAAAACTAAGTTTCATAGGGTGTACTAGCCAGTGTTTATAATCCCAGCTACTGAGGAGTCTGAGATAAGGGATCGCTTGAGCCCAGGAGTTCCAGACCAGTCTAGGCAACAAAGCAAGAGTCTCTCTCTTAAAAAAACAAACAAAACAAAATCCAAAGTTTCCTCCATACACCATTCACTCTCACCATAACCACTACTCATAGTTGTGTATCTTCTTAAAAATTTTATATATGTATACAAACAAAATTTTTATATACATGCAAATTATACAGTAAGGTAGAGGGAAATAAATTCAGTGTTTGATAGCAGGGTAGGATGACTATACTTAACAAAAATGTACTCAGGTGACCGACATCCTGAATACCCTGCCTTACTCTCTACACATTATATACATATAACAAAATTTCTTATGTACCCCATACATTTTCAAAAATTAAAAAAAATTTATATGTGTGTATATATACACATTTTTTAAAAAAAATAGTGTTACAATGTACATAGCAGTTCTAATTTTGCTTATTAAATTTATTTTGGAATACTTTCATATGAGCATAACTGTATCTACCTGTTTTTTTAATGACCACATAGTATTTCATGGTATAGATGAAGCATAATTTATTTAATCACACTTTGATGGACATTTAAGTTGGTTGCCATTTTTTCTCTTATAAACAATGCAGCTTGGCCGGGCGCGGTGGCTCACGCCTGTAATACTAGCACTATGGGAGGCCGAGGAGAGCGAATTGCTCTGGAATATTTAAATAAAGAGGTAGTTTCATAAGTTTATACTTTGGGGAGATTAGTGTGGCTTGTGGTATGGTTTGGTGAGGGGAAAGCCAGGAGATCAGGGAAGCAGTTAGGAGAATCTTACAGTAGTTCAAGCCTCCATTAGGGGAGAGAGGCAGTAGAAATGGAAAAGGATAGTCACATGGGAGAGATTTAAAGGAAGATCAGTTTCTGCAAAGGGCCCTGGGGCTTTCCCACACGCGCTCTCTTCGCTGACACCGCGCTCCCCAACTCCTCTTCCTCTCACCTCCCACAGCGACCCGCTCCTCGCGCTCACACTCTCTCTACACGACCCGGGCGTGTGTCTTTGACGGCGCGTGTTTGGCACTGTGTCTCTGGTCTTGAGACAATGCACGCTGCTGAACTGGTCATCCTGTTGCAAAGTTCTCGGGCTACCTGAGGGTGGCAGGGTTCCTATCCATGAACATGGGATATCTCTCCATTTATTTAGCTCTTCTTTGATTTCTTTCATCAGAGTTTTGTAGTTTTTTTCATATAGACATTTTATGCTTATTAGATATATTTCTAAGTAATTCATTTTTGGAAGGTGTTAATGTTACTGGTGTTGTTTTTTTAATTTCAAGTTCCTTGTTCACTGCTGGTATATAGGAAAGTAATTGACTTTTATATGTTAATCTTGCTGCAACCTCCTGCAACCTTGCTATAATTACTTATTAACTCCAGGAGGGACGTTTTTTTTGTCAGTTATTTAGGATTTTCTACATAGACAGTTATGCCATCTCTGAAGAAAGATGATTTTATCTCTTTCTTCCAAGTGTGTATATCTTTTGTTTCTTGTCTTATTATAGTATCTAAGGTGGCCATTATGATATAGAATAGGAGTGATGAGAGAGAACATCTTTGCCTTATTCTTGATCTTAGGGGCAAAGCATCTATTTTCTCACCATAAGTAGGATTTTAGCTATAGAGTTTTGTTTTTTGTTTTTTTTTAGATATTCATTATCAAGTTGAGGAGCTTGCCCTACTTTGCTGAGAATTTTTATCACAAATGAGTGTTAGATTTATTTGTTATTGATTTAATTTTTTTAATATTATGGTCCCTGTGCACATTTTTAATTGGGTTATTTATCCTTTTATTGTTGAGTTGTAAGAGTTCTCTATATATTTGATATAAATATAATATCTTATCAGATATATGAGGAGCAAATATTTTCTACCATTTTGTGGGTTGTCTTTTCACTTTCTTGATGGTGCTCTTTGAAGCATAAAAGTTTTTAATTTTGATGAAGTCTCATTTATCTATTTTTTTCTTTTGTTGTTTATGCTTTCGGTGTCATACCTAAGAAACCATTGCCTAATCCAAGGTCAGAAAAATTTACTCCTATGTTTTCTTGTAGCTGTTTTATAGTTTCATCTCTTACATTTAGGTCTCTGATCCATTTTAAGTTAAATTTTGTATATGGTGAGAAGTAGGAGTCCAACTTCATTCTTTTATATGTGGATAACTGGTTGTCTCAACATATAATGTACCTTTTTAAAGCCCTTGTCTGCTAATTCTAACATCTAGGTCATCTGTGGATCTGTTTCTATTGACTAATTTTTCTCATAACCATGGATTATATTTTCCAATTTTCTTACACGTACAGTTTTTTTTTATCTTTCTTAAATTTTTTTCCTCAATGAAAGTTCAGAGCAACACATACAGTTTTTTATTGTATACTGGACTTTGTATGTGATGTGACATAGAAACTCCAGATTTTTATTGCCTTCTTGTGAAGAGTGTTGAGCTTTTTTCTAGCAGGCAGTTAAATTCAGGCAGATCACCTTGACCCTGTGGTAGTTAGGTCTTACATTTTTGGGGGACAGCTATATTTTAATTTTGCCCTTGGTCATAGAGCTAATCTCTTGGTGCTGAGAGGTAGTTTTTACTGCTAGTTGTGGTCTTTCAGGCGTTTCACTGGAAACTGCAAAATGTTTACCAAGCCCCTCTAACTTTGCAGGACTTAAACTCTAAACTCTGTTTTTCCTACAGTGGGCAAAAATGTACGCTCTGGTATATACAACCACAACGAGTAAGATGTGCAACATTTAGGGGATGAACACGCTTGAAGCTCTTACTTGGGGGGGAGGGGGGCATGGACAATATATGTAACCTTAACACATGTACCCCTATAATATGCTAAAATTAAAAAAAAAGAAAGTAAAAAACAAAAACAAATGTACGCTCTGCTCAACTGCTCAACTCTTTCAACTTTTCAGTTTCCTGGATTTTTTGTTTTGTTTTGTTTGTTTTAAATAAAACAAACTTTTTTTTGAAGTCTTAACCTGCTTCTGTACAATTCAGAGGCTGTCAAGAATCTGAAGGGAATTTATATGTAGATTTTTTGAGCTTGCCCCTTCATGGCTTCATTCTTTGGGGACTTCCTACCTCTCCACTTCTATCTCTGGCGGTCTCAAACTTCATTCTCCAGTTCCTCAGGAACATAAGACTGGATTTCTGTTTAAACTGCCCCATCATGTGCCTACTGGGGGTTGTCCTCAGCCACATTAACCTGGGTCTAACCTAGTGTGGTTCCCTTACTCCAAAGGTTGGATGATTAGATCCCTTGCAGTCTCTGCCTGTGTTTTGTTTTGTTTTGTTTTGAGACAGAGTCTCACTCTGTTGTGGAGGCTAAAGTGCTGTGGCCTAGCTCACAGTAACCTCAAACTCCTGGGTCAAATGATCCTCCCACCTCAGCCTCCCAGAGTGCTAGGATTATAGGCATGAGCCACCACGCCCAGCCTCTGCCTGCTTTTTATTGCTCCCCAGTGCCTTCAAACAATTGTTTTGAAATATTTTGTTCAGAGTTTATAACCATTGGTAGGAGGGTTAGTCCAAAACCAGCTACTCCATCATTACTGGAAGCTGGAAGGAACAGACTATGGAATTTGAACTTTATTCTGCAGGCTGGAATATTTAAATAAGAGGGTAGTTTCATAAGTTTATACTTTGAGGAGATTAGTGTGGCTTGTGGTATGGGTTGGTGAGGGGAAAGCCAGGGGATCAGGGAAGCAGTTAGGAGAATCCTACAGTAGTTCAAGACAGAGGGGACAAAGGCCTTCATTAGGGGAGAGAGGCAGTAGAAATGGAAAAGGATGGTCACATGGGAGAGATTTAAAGGAAGATCAGTTTCTGCAAAGGGCCCTGGGGCTTTCCCACAAGAAAAGATTTCGTAGTGACCAGTAAAAATTGTTACCATTTCATCCCAGAGCCTGGCCTGGTCAAACTTCATTCCCGGGTGTGTTTATGTGGAGGCCCAGAGTGTTTGCGCCCCTGATGTTTGTCTTGGAGAAATGACCTGACTGAATCCTGGGTCACTCCTGGTCTGCAAGTCTCCCTGGCTCACCTGAGGGCTGCTGAAGGGATCCAATTTGGCCTTGAGCTTGGGTCAGTTGTGGAACAGTCTGTTTGCTTCCAGCCCCAAGGTCTGGCGTAGAATTGGACAAGAGCTGGGGAAGGGTAGGGTGAAGGGGTTACAGATGCGAGCTGCACTGCCTGAACATGCCTCCGCACCCTCCGTCTGGGATGCTGTTCTTCTGGATGTTGGGTGGCCATTTTTCCTTGATCTTTTCCGCTAGCTTTGTTGTTTCCTCTTTCAACAGGTCAAATGGATGATGTACTGGATTATATTTGCACTTTTCACCACAGCAGAGACATTCACGGACATCTTCCTTTGTTGGTAAGTACTCCGGGATTTGGGACATTTTAAAGGATGATTTTTCCTAGTGTCGGGAGAGGTGGGAAAGGGCTGAAACCAGCCTCAAGCCTTATCTCAAGCCAGAGATGCAGTGCAGAAATAGTAATAGAAACATTTTTAATAAATTAGTCTGTGAAAGTTGTTTTTCAAGTAAATACTTATTGAGTTTATAAGAGCAAGTATTGTTCTAGGCACTGGGGGAAGTCAGTAATCAGGATAAGACAGGCACAGTTGCTCAGTTAATGAAGTTGGTAAAAAAAAATCCAGTGTTAGAAATAAGAACAAAGGAAACAGTACACAAAGTATACAGTAAGGCCAGGCACAGTGGCTCATGCCTTATAATCCTAGCACTCTGGAGGCTGAGGTGGGAGGATAGCTCAAGGTCAGAAGTTCAAGACCAGCCTGAGCAAGAGCACTTGCTCTTGCTCAACTTGCTCCTGTCTCAACTAAAAATAGAAAGAAATTAGCTGGACAACTAAAAGTATAGAAAACTTAGCTGGGCATGGTGGCACATGCCTGTAATCCAGCTATTCGGAGGCTGAGGCGAAGGATTGCTTAAGCCAGGGAATTTGAGGTTGCTGTGAGCGAGGCTGATGCCATGGCACTCTAGCCCAGGCAACAGAGCGAGACTCTGTCTCAAAAAAAAAAAAGTATACAGTAAAAACTAAGTTTCATAGGGTGTACTAGCAAGTGTTTATAATCCCAGCTACTGAGGAGTCTGAGATAAGGGATCGCTTGAGCCCAGGAGTTCCAGACCAGTCTAGGCAACAAAGCAAGAGTCTCTCTCTTAAAAAAACAAACAAAACAAATCCAAAGTTTCCTCCATACACCATTCATCTCACCATAAACATACTATAGTTGTGTACTTTCTTAAAAATTTATATATGTATACAAACAAATTTTTATATACATGCAAATTATACAGTAAGGTAGAGGGAAATAAATTCAGTGTTTGATAGCAGGGTAGGATGACTATACTTAACAAAAATGTACTCAGGTGACCGCGACATCCTGAATACCCTGCCTTACTCTCTACACATTATATACATTATAACAAAATTTCTTATGTACCCATACATTTTCAAAAATTAAAAAAAATTTATATGTGTGTATATATACACATTTTTTTAAAAAAATAGTGTTACAATGTACATAGCAGTTCTAATTTTGCTTATTAAATTTATTTTGGAATACTTTCATATGAGCATAACTGTATCTACCTGTTTTTTAATGACACATAGTATTTCATGGTATAGATGAAGCATAATTTATTTAATCACACTTTGATGGACATTTAAGTTGGTTGCCATTTTTTCTCTTATAAACAATGCAGCTTGGCCGGGCGCGGTGGCTCACGCCTGTAATACTAGCACTATGGGAGGCCGAGGAGAGCGAATTGCTCAAAGTCAGGAGTTTGAAACCAGCCTGAGCAAGAGCAAGACCCCGTCTCTACTATAAACAGAAAGAAACTAATTGGCCAACTAATATATATAGAAAAAATTAGCTGGGCTTGGTGGCGCATGCCTGTAGTCCCAGTTACTTGGGAGGCTGAGGCAGAAGGATTGCCTGAGCCCAGGAGTTTGAGGTTGCTGTGAGCTAGGCTGACGCCATGGCACTCACTCTAGCCTGGGCAACAAAGCGAGATTCTGTCTCAAAAACAAACAAAACAAACAAACAAAAAACAATGCAGCTATTAATATTTCCAGCAATAGAACAATTAAAAAACATAAGCTAGGTCTTTGTATTAATATATTGTGTCTTCATGTATAGTGTTCTGTTTATATTTAAAGAGCATGAGTTTGTGCACATGTGACTGTATAGTAAAAGTAGTGTAATGAGTGCAATTAGCCAGGGTTATTTCTACGATTTGGGATCGCTATGTTATATGAATGTTTGCATTTGGTATGTTATTATGAATGTTTTACCATGATCAAGTGTCATCGGAGAAAATAATAAAGATATTTCCATTTTGAGAGGAAAAAGATTAAGAAAATGGGTACAGTTCAAAAAGGAAAAAGAGAGTTAGAAAATTAAAAATCTTTTTAAATATTATTAAAAAATTAAAAAAAAAAGAGTTCATACCCAAAAAGGATCAATATGAGACTCCCTTTTCCAAATTTTACTCTCCTGTGATTTAGAGATCATTTAGTTTTAGTACTTAGTATTAATTAAATACTTACTTAGTAAGTACTAAGTAGTAAGTACTTAGCTGTGATTTAGAGATCACTTGGTATTAACAAGGCTACCAGGGCTTGCCTATAATAGGATGGAGGAAGAGAGAAGGGGGGAAGTTACCAGGGAGGGTGGCCCAGGAGGTATCTCCTGCCACAACCAATTGTAGAACCTACCGTGTGCTAGTTCTATACAGGCACTGGGTGGCTCAGCCAGAGCCAGCACCTCTCAGCTGTCTTCAGGAGAGAAAATAACCTGGGAAATTTCCAACTCCAGAGAGCTGCAGATGCTTGAGTACTTTTGACTCTCTTTTTCCATCTCATACTTTTCTTCTGTCCTGAAGTAGGTGATCCTTGCCCCTTCTTGTCCTCTGTTCTTCTAGGTTGATGGTTTAGGAGTAGCATTCTTTTTCCCATGTAGTGTATGAATGTCCTTCCTTTCTCCCTCCCTCCTTCACTTCTTCCTTTTCTTTCCTGGTTAAGATGTATACAACCTTTACTCCTACCCAAGAGGTCTCTTTCCACAGTGGAGAGGTAAGGAGGTTTCACATTTGTGCTCTGAGGAGAAGCTTGAGAGTTGAGTAGTAGCTCCTAGCTTCTTCTGATACCCTATCCCATGTGACAGCTGGCATCCCAGGGAAGCTTCTCATGTGGCCGACATACTACTTCCCTATGGTCATCTGAAACTTAGACTCCCTCCTGTCTCTAAAACTTACGGCCCCCTCAGTCTTGAGGCCATTTCACCATTTGACTCTGCAAAGGGCAGAGGGCCCTCACCCATCTATCTATAGGATAGATAACCTATCACTTCAGAGATAACCTAGACACTTCAGAGAGGTTTGTTTTGGACCTATTGAGGCTGAGATGATGCCAGGTAAATAGTAAGAAAATTCTGGGGTGGATGTTGGTGAGCCACAGAAGGAAATTTGGAGGGAGGCAAAGCTCTTGTCCACCACTGGGACTTTGTTCACGCTTCCCTTGTAGTGTCGAGGATGGGCTCACCTGCTTTTCTTAGCTCTCTTGCTTGATGAGAAACCTCTAAGGGTGAGGATATGTTTCAACGAGCTTTGGTTTCCCCGTACTGTTCAGCACATACCTTCACCTTACAGCTTTTCAATAGAATTTTCCCAACTGAACAAATAGGTAAAACAATGACTCAACCAATAAGCCAGTGTGGTTATCTTTGAGTACACAAGTGGGGCAGGAAAAAAGCTTGAGGAAAGAAATTAAAGGAAAATATAGTGATTGCTAGCAGTAGGATACAGTCTTGAGACTCTGTTTTTGCTACCTAGAAAAGACTCCAAAAAAAGGCCTACTTTTATCTAGTCCTGGAAAGGTCAGGGATTATTGGGCTGAAATGACTTCCTTTTTTCTTCTCTGGATACTTATGCCATCTTTTTGCCCATGGAACAAACCCATTTGGTTGTGATTCTTCTATAACCAGCTGATTTCCCTTGCCCCAGGGCAACACAGAGTAGCTCTCTCTCCTACCAGTCCAGAGGCTGCCTTGGAAGGCAGCACCCAAATGCACAGGCCTCAAGGCCACTCCAAACCAAGTCTACTACCCTAATTTGTCATTGGAGATGCCAGGGGATCGGGAGGCAGGAAGGCTTTTGAAGGCTGCACCAGTGTGGATGAGATACACCAGAAAGAACCCAAAGAACAAGGAGGGTCTGTAGCAGGCTGGCCAGAAAATAGAAGGGGCTCAGGCAGTCCAGAAGGACCTCTCTGGATCTAATATGCACGCTTATCCCACATAGCCTGGGGAAGGCTCTGCCATGCACTGAGAGGGCGTGGCTAGGGAGCATCTGGCTCTCATGCCTATGTTTGTGTGGAGATACAACCTCTGTCTATAAATAAAGTACACACAGAAATTCCACTTCTGGGTATTTATGCTAAGGATACATGTGCATGTGTATGTAAAGAAGCATACATACATAAGGAGGTTTGCTTGCAGCTCTGCTGTAGTAGCCAAAGATTGTAGCTGCCATAAATATCCATTCACAGAGGCCTGAGCAGATGCTAGTGCCCTTGGGTGCAGCCATTAAGAAGAGAGAGGTTGCTGGGTGTGGCGGCTCACACCTGTAACTCCAGCACTTTGGGAGGCCCAGGAGGGAGGATCTCTTGAGACTAGGAGTTCAAGATGAGCCTGGGCAACATAACGAGACTCCACCTCTACAAAAACAATTTTTAAAATTAGCTGGTGGGGTATGGTGGTACACACCTGTAGTCCCAGCTACTTGAGAGACCGTGGTGGGAATATCACTTGAGCCCTAGAGTCCGAGGTTATAGTGAACTATGATTGCACCACTGCATTTCAGTGTGTCTCTAAAGAGAGAAAGAGAGAGACGTATCCCTTCCTATACTGGTATGATATAATTGTGCGTGTGCTAGTGGGTAGGAAGAGGGTATATAGAACGCTACTGTGTGTGTGGGGGGGGGTGGTTAAGGGAGTCATATACCTGCGTGATATATATACCTAGCCCTAGTCTACCTCTTGAAAGGTGCACAAGTAACTGATGATGTTTTGCTTTTAGAAAAGGGACTGAGGATCAGGGGTGGGAAGGAGACTCTTTGTTGTATATCTTTTGGACTTTAAGAATTTTTTAAATTACGTGCATGCACGACCTATTTTTTTAAAAAATGCGTGTTTTGCATAATAAATAAAGGAGCTGCAGCGTGACAGATGCCCCTGGGATTATCCGTGAGTCTGTGGCGGTGTCTGAGCTTGCCAGATTCATTTGCTTTCCCCTTGGGGCTGGCAAGTACTTGTTTTCAAAACAAAAGTTCCTCCGTTACTAATCACCAGAGTGTTCAAATGTGGGAGAATCACACCCCTGTTCTTTCTGCCCCTCTCCTTTCTGGCTGTGAAACATTAAACAATCTTGCCATGAAAGCGCCCCCTAATTGCTGAGGGCATATTCAGGGGGGGCTGCCGGAGTGAAGGCGGCTGCCAGGAGACCCCAATGGGGAAGGAGGAGTGGGTGGGGCTGGTGGAGTTGGGGGCGGGGTCTGTGTGAGCATAAAAGGGCCCTGGAATGGCTTGCTAGAAATTGCTCTTTCTTATTTTCTGCTGCCTTATCTGGGGAGGATGACTGGGAAGGAATTACTTTGTGATCTCTCAGACTGGCACAGGTGGCCTTCTCCCTCAGTAGCATCATGTCTCGAGGATACCTGGGGTTTGTTTTAATCAGGTGTAGTTAGAGATGCAGGCACAGAAATGACTGTCACGAATGAAGAGGTTTTTGCACGCACAGATCCCTAGCAAAAGGAGGCAGAGCATGTCACTCAGGGCACACTGGGGTCGATCAGGAGTCAGGGAGGAAGCGTGTGAGGCCTTTGTTGTGGTGTTCGCAGTAAAGGAAGGAAAGGGTGAGGCAGGGTAAGCATGCTTGGGGGTGGCTGCTTTAAATAATTTCGGTGGGCTCTTGGGTGTGGGGCTGGCCCTGGGGTGACTGGGGCAAGTGGATCATGGCCCAGAGTGTGAGAGCCCAGTGGAGGTGGCCGGAGTTTGGGCTCTGGATTGGTTGGTTTACATATGGAAATTTAAGGTGTGCTGGCAGGTGAGTTCTTTACTATCTTTAGGAATTGACTTATCTGGGAGGAACAGTCTCTCCAGAGTCAGCAAGGCCCCAAGATGTCAAAGCATTAGAATATAGAAAATAGAAAGACGTGGTTGAAACATCTCAGAGTCCTGATTTGGCTGCACAGCTTATTCACAGCACAGAGTATCTGGCCAAGGAAGTGAGTGGAGCTGAAATCCAGCCCAAGCTCAGCCTGCCACGTGCCCTGTGCCCCCAGAGCTGCCTCTAGCTGAAGGGACTGGCTTTTTCTAATACCGTCAGGGGCACTATATGGGCTAGCAGAGGCCCACTATGGCACTTGTCTCAGGTTGCTGTTCTATATTCTTTGTGATTATTTTCTCAATCTCTATTTCCCAGAGTGGACCTTCAGTTCTAAAGATGCCACAGTCTTGTTTGTTTCCTGATAAATTGGAAGCCCCAGGAATGCAGGGGTCAGGTCTTCTTTGCTCACCTTCATCTCACCAGTGCTTGGCACAAGCTAGCACATACAGGTGCTGGGTAAATGTTTGTGGGACAAATAAATGAATGGGCTCAAGGGTATGCAGGACCTTCAAACTCCAGAATTGTGTGATGCTACACCCTGAACTTTTTTTTTTTTTTGAACCAAAAAGATCAAGATCTGTTTGCTTGGCATTGACTTAATAGGGTGATTGGGTGAGTAGCATTCTCCTCCCTGTCAAGAGTTGGGCATCTGTCCTTGCCTGTCTAGGGGCCAAAAAGACAGACAAGAATGGGAGGCTTTTATTCTCAGCCTGGAGATTCTTTGTCAGGTCCACCCTGCGGTAATTCTCCTGATGTTTATAACTCTTGGACGAGAGTGAAGACTGAACAGCTGGGTCTGCAGCAGTAACGTGGTTTTCGGAGCCTGAGGGCTGTGGCCGGAGCCCCAGTTCCGACCTCAATGAGCACAGTGTGGCAGGAGGCGCCAGCCTGTGCCAGGCAGGGCTGAGGGGTGGTTACTGGAGAGAACCTGCCTTCCTGGTTTGCTTTGGCAACAAAAGAAAACATAAACTGGCTTTCAAAGAGAGGCCTTAAGGTTGTGCCGTGTGTGCGCATGCACACCTTCCTGGGTGGAGGAAGGAGGAATCTGGGGACCTGGCTGTCCCATGTGTGCAGGCAGGAGGGGTGTCCTTGCTGCCCACCGGGTCTCATCCTTCATATGGGTGTCATTGCTGAGAACCTAATGGAACTTGTGTTTTCTTCTCTCTCTCCAGGTTTCCATTCTATTATGAACTAAAAATAGCGTTTGTAGCCTGGCTGCTGTCTCCCTACACAAAAGGCTCCAGCCTCCTGTACCGGAAGTTTGTACATCCCACGCTGTCTTCAAAAGAAAAGGTAATTCTTGCCACTCTGCCTTTCACTCTTTCTAGCGAGTAAAGAAAAAAAAAAAAAAAAGAAACCAGTGATAAAACGGAAAGGGCAGATTATTTTATTGCAGGAGACCACACATTTGGCTATTATTTACTTCCAACAAGTTATTCATTCTAATCTTTTTTTAAGTATATTTTTGGGACTTATTTAGATATATTGGTGAGATTCTCTAAAAGATGTTATTTATCATTATTTACTAGAAAACATTTCCATAAATTTTATGTTCCATAAACAAAAGAAAGAAAAAAATCCACTCACAATTTAATTCTCCCCAAACTGAATTTCATTCCTTTTATCATGCTTAGCCCCTATCCTTTTGTAGAAATGATTTTTACATAGACTATTTAAAGTTTTACATAGAATATATATTTTTAAAACTTTTTTAAACTTAATGTAGATAAAATGTTTTTATTCTGAGATCTTAAATATATTTACATATAATCCATTTCTACTTAGTTTTCGTAGTCACCCATGATGACAGTATTCCCTGACTGCTGGATATTTAGATTGTCTCTATTTTTTATGTGTTATAGGTAATTCTGCAATGAATACTACCATTCATGGAATTTATAGTTCCTTTGATTATCTTAGAATAAATTCCCAAGAGTGGGATTATCGGGTCAAGGATTCCAACATTGTATAATTCATTAATTATATTACCTTCTAAACTGACTATGTGGCAGAGTCCTTTAACATAAAACAGGAGCACTAAAGGTGGCTTGATTAATTTCTGTTGCTTCTGAAAGTTAAATACTTTGGACTTCTTCTAGGGGAAGAATTTGGGGAACAGATCAGTTGGATGAGCAGGCTGCTGTAGACATTTCTGGAAATCCCTTTAGGAGCTAGGACCACAGCACTTCTTGTCTCAGAAGGGTGGATTTTGAGGAATGGGTCCCTGTGTTAACCTGGTTATCATATCTCCACTCTTCCTACTCCCCTTTCCCCAAATGCTGGGCTTCCCCTGAAGCTGCCAGTGTAATTCCCATTGAAGTGGATAAGAGTGACTGACCCTTAAGAGCTGCCAAGAATCACTTCCAGAGTTGGGGGAAGGGGTGTCACAGTTAGAGGGTTGGCTGCTGCGACTTGGCTTCCCGACTTCCCTGGGAAGCCTTCAATGCGGGAGTCACACCTCAAAGCAAAGGAAATGCACTAATGTGCTAAACTGCAGACAGACTGAAGCCAAATGTCATTGTCTTACTGAACTCCGAAATGAGCTACTGTAATGACAAACAGCCATTTTCTTAAAACAATGACAGCAACTCAATACAAACAAAAAGATTAAGCCAGAGTTGATCCAAATTTGGACTTAACCAATATTATACTTGGCTTTGGTCCCTGAAGGAGACCTCAGTGCTGTTTTCCACTCACCTTTACCTTATTTTATGATAATGGATGACTTTTAATTTCTGCTCTTATTTGAATATTTGTAAAATGATCTCCCTTGTCAAATAACACATTTCTTTCAGCATCCTACTCCCTCCTATCGCTATATACATGGGGCAATATTTGGCTGTAGAATTAAGTACGTAGAGAATAACAGAATTTTAGAACTACAAGCTTACCCCCCCCCCAAGATAAGGAAGACGACAATGGTTATCACCCATTGAAGCCAGCTACTGTGTTAGAGGCTTTACTGGAATTACCTCATTTACTCTTCACCATACTGCACGAGTTAGGTATTATCATTACCCTAATTTTTCAGAAGACAAAACCGTGTGTGTAGAGAGGCTGAGTACTTGCCAAGGTCTGACAGCCAGTTAGTCGCAGGTCTAAGGGTAGAAGCTCTTGGCATCCTCCGCACCCCAGGTTCTTTCAGTGTCTTAGTGAGTGGCTGTGTGTAAAATGGCAGGCAGGCTGGTCCCCATCCAGGACCCTCTAGAGCCTCCCTGGGAGGTTAGAGGGTGTTAGAAACAATCCCAGGGCATTGCTGGTGCAGAAAGTTGCTGTTTTTTCAGAGTTCCCTTTTCTACTCCAGGTATGTCTACTGCCCCTCTCCCTCTTCCTATCTACACACGTGCTCACAGTGCCCATGACTTTTCAGGCCCAGTGAGAATCAGGCAAGCTGCCAAGCCCAGAGCCTGGGAGAAAGGAAAGAGAATAGAGATTTATTAGAACCTTCCGACTCAGTGTGCCTCTGTTTTTCCTTTGACAGGAAATCGATGATTGCCTGGTCCAAGCGAAAGACCGAAGTTACGATGCCCTTGTGCACTTCGGGAAGCGGGGCTTGAACGTGGCAGCCACGGCGGCTGTGATGGCTGCTTCCAAGGTACTGTGCTGGGCCCTGACCACCACGGCTGCACGAGCATCTCAGTCCCGCCCTCCAGTCCACCCTGCTCGGCACCCATGTGACCGCACAGAACAGCTTGAGGACCAGTCACTGGTTCCTTGTCTTTTTGGGGGTCTCTTTGAAAATCTGATGTAAAATATGGTGAATCTTGCCCCAGAAAATTCTCACACCACACACACACACACATACACACATACACATACACACACACACACATGTAAAGCTCACCTGTGGGTCCCACATTAAGAATTTTTAACTTACTTGGGGCTTAGATCTGGGAAGAATAGGAGCGGGAAGGAAAGGAAGGAAGAGACTGCTCCCCTGTAATCTCCTGGGGTGCACTGGGAGGGTCACCTAAACTCACAGTGGACAGGTGGAGAGCCCACCTGGGCAAGTGGGTGGACTCCACACTCGTGGGGCCCAGCAGATCCAGGGGAAGGAACCTGGGGTCCCAGAGTGTTAGCTGGGCAGTTTGGACATAGATGACAGTGATGTGCCTAGCAGTAGTCACTCAAGAGAAGGAGGTGTGAAATAAATGCTGGTCTTTGGAATATTGTGGTGTGAGCATTACATTGTTCTCTTTTCTATCCAGCCCTTTTCAAAACTGTGTTCTTTCTAGCTTCTTCTCACATCACACTCTTTGTTGTTGTTATAATGAGATTCCTCATTATTTACTCAGACCTGAAAAATTAAATTTGTCAGACATTTCCTCTCAGGGTGAATTCAGCAGATCACCCTAGTGTTTCCGAGTGACGATCCCTTCCCCCAACCAAGTGTGGAGTAGGGGTCTGCATTGGGCTGGCAGTGGAGGAGAGGCAGTTGTGCTAATGTTGGGAAGATACAGTGGCTGGGAGGTGGGGGGTATTAGCAAAGGGAAGTTGTAAGTCCCTGATGACGATGCGAAGGTTTGGGGAAAGAGGTGGTGGGGCTGTGAAAAGGTTTGGAGGAGGACAGTTCATACAGACCTTGGTGCTCTGTGGGCTCTGAGTGCATGGCAGGATGGAGGGTGCTGAGAACCAGTGGTCAGGGGACCACACTGGGTTTTCTGTGCCCTGAACCAGGGAGAAGCACAGTAGGAGCATTTCTGGGGGAAGGACTCAGCACCTTCAACTGAAGCCCAGGGGTTCTGCAGACAAAGGCTGGGTGAGAGGGAAGAACCTAAAAGGAATGATTCCTATTTCAGACAAGACTAGCTCCTTCTATAGCAGAACAGTAGTGAGGTGTCCCACTGTTACATACATCTGGTCCCTGGGCAGTCCCTGCCCACCCTAATATGATAATTGCTGGCAAGATGATGGATCCCAGTCAGTATCTTTGGAAGAGAAATTCTGTTTTGGTGTCCCCACACCCATCAGGATTTATGAATAGCAGTAAATTCCAAGAACCTTCTGTTCAAGATGCAACAATTTTATGCTTTTTTTTTAAATTGAAGGAAAAGAGAACTCAGAATCACTAAATTCTGAATTCATCAGGCCAACCTTGCAACATAAAGCTACAGAAACCCTCTCTCGGCACTCCCTCCCCACCCCTTCTCCTCTGCCCGTGACGCTCAGTTCAGTCATTGAGTGTAAATGTGTATTTATCAGGGTCGTTCAGTCTGGGTCATCTGGCTACTCAGCTGTCTGTGTGTAAGTTTTATTCTGATGGTGACATGGGCAGGGCCATCCTCTTCCAGGTCTGCCTCATGCTGGAGCCTCCAGAGTCTTGATAGCATCTTGGCCAGTCATCACCTGCCCTTCTGACCAGGACTTCTCCAGCCAGGCACCTTACAATAGCTAAAACTTGAAGGAAGGGCCAGTCAGAAGCTTGCCTCAGGAAATTACTGCTCATTAGCTCTTCCCAGTTGGTCTAAAGTAGTGAGAGACATCTGCTTTCTGTTGAATTTAGTTTCAGATGAGAAAATTTTCTGCCTTGTGGGGACTTTGCTTTTTCTCTCTAAATATAAATATCTGGAAAGAGAAAACACATTTTTTCTAAAAATATTGCCCTCTATTTTTGAAACAGATGTGTACTTAAAAAAATAAAATAAAATAAAATTCAAAAATCCAGTCAGGTGGAGGTCTACCGCAGTGGTTTCCATAGCAACATTGGATCACTCCAGGCAGTGGTCAAAGGGTGATAATGACTCAACAGTGGGTCCGATCTGGCTTTCACACCCAAACCACCTGGGAAGCTTTGTTTTCATTTTGTTTTTTAATAGATTCTCATATGTGCTGAATCAGAATCTCAGGCAGTGGGTCCAAGAATCTCTATTTTTAACAAGTTCCCCTGATGATTTTTAAACAGCCAGCTCTGTACAGGTCACTGCCTGAGGCCCCATCCAGAACTGTAGGAGCACAGGTGGTTAGGGTTAAAACATTCCTGGGATGCAGATACAGCTCCTTGGAAGCATTAACCTTGAGAAAGTGTGTGGCAGTGTTTATTTCCCCCAAACTTATGCCATTTGAGAAATGCTACATGGGACTATACCTTCTTCCCCCTCTTTTGTAGTGCTCCAAAGAGCCTACCTAGGTGGTAGGCTTCGCACCCAGCTGAGCTCTTAGCCTTGTTGATTACCCCAGAAGAATAGTTAGAGCAGTTGCATGGAAAAAAAAAAAAGACAAAAAAGACCCATGGCTGGGGTGATCCTAAATAATTTATTGTTCAAACCAGGACACATCTGAGAATGACAAGGTGTCATAATAATTATTCTGAGACAGCAGGTATAAACTATGCCTGTCCCAAGCAATCTGGGTTCTGCGATCACCCGACTCCTGGCTTCTTTGTAGAGCTCTTCTTGAACCTGCCTGTCTCCTCCCACAAAACACCCTCAACTCACAAATCTGTTTTCACTCTCAATATATACTGCACTTAGTCAAAGGGATGCAAGCAAGAGCGTTGAGTGTTGGGAAGACTCTTAGTTCTGACAGATTAAGTGAAGTCTGGGATAAAGTGATGGGATGAAAGAGTAATTCCTTCCTCCCTTTTCTCTTTTTTCCATCCTTTGATGGCTCCTCAGGAGGAAATTATGGAGCTTAAATGGAAGAATGAAAATTTTTGACTATACTTTTAGTTAATCCTTTAAAAATAATTGTTGAGCCCTGGGCCCTTTCTCTAATAAAATTTATGTTTGCATGATCATGAAGTATGAAAAAACTTTGTAAACCATATCATTATATTAATACAAATGTAAGTTGTTAGTAATGTTAATATTACTATTTTTTCTTAGAACTAGAGAAGCTAAAACAAAAAATATTAGACATGAGAAATTTCTCTCCAGGGCAGTTAACCCCCATCCAACCCCTAATTTTCCCCAAGGTCTAATCCTATCCCCTGAAGTGTTGATGCCTGTTTTCTTCTGGTGAAAACTTCTCTGTCTCTTTCCTGAGGACATGCTTCTCTACTACCTTCTATCTAAGCATCCCTAGTCTCTGGCTGGCTCTACTCCTACATATTACCTATTTCCTAGCTTATAATTCCACCCAGAGGGAAAACTGAACCCCAGGTCTTTTTAAAACTGGTATCGAAAATTTCTCTTTTTAGAAAAATAACATTCTAGGAATTCATTTGTTAAGCAAAATACATTGTCACATGAAAGAGAAACCATAGTGGAGAAGAACCAACTGAACTAAAGTTTCAAAACCATGAGGTCTCTAGGCTGCCTTCCTACCCCTGAAATTTGAAACATAGCCTAGGTCTCTTCCACTCACCCAGTTTTCAGACCTGGTAAACCAAACTTGGTTTTTACTTGTTTCATAAATCAAAAAATAATGTTATTTTAGTTCCCCTGGAGATTTCGTCCCTAGAACAGTTCAATGCTATTATTAAAGTCAGTTTTAAAGAAAGCTACTAGTATTCTGTGAATTAGGGATTCCTCTCCTACAGATGTTTTCCAGGGGTGTGTGTATGTATGTGTGTGTGTGTGTGTGTGTATTTGTGTGTGTATTTGTGTATGTATGTCTCTGTGTATGGTTCCAGTCTACCCCAGAATCTCAAATTTCCATATTGCTAGCTGCTTTTTTGAATTGCAGACAAAGCTTACCTAAAATTGTTAATTTCTTGAAATGAGGATCTCTGGCTTCTTTTCCTTTGTTTCTTGCTCAGAAAAATAAACAAAACCAAAACAATCCTTAGTTGCTTAGTGCTTTGCACTCATAGCTACTCATTAAACCTTATTGATTGATATGAAGTATATATCTTTTAATTCCTATAGTCCTGTTCTGTCTAATATGGTAGCCACTTGCCACATGTAGCTATTTAAATTTAAATTAATTAAAATTAAGTAAACCTAATATTGAATTCCTCAGTCATATTACCCCTATTTCAAGTCCTCAGTAGCCCCTGTGGCTGGTGGTTGGCACAGATATAGTGTGTTTCTATCATTGAAGAAAGTTCCATCAGATAGTACTGCCCCAAGCCCTCTGTTAGCCCTCTTGGGTTCTCCTTTGCCTTATTTATTTTCACCCCTTCATCTGCAGCTGCTCTGGCTTTGACAGGATACCCAGCCCTCCTTAACCTACTCAGTTCCTTGGGAGCTTCTATATGTAAGGTTCACCAGGAACCAGGAAAATTGGGAGATAGAAACTCAGCCTATAGCAGCACCCATGCTGTAGCTCTCATTTCTTCATCCTGCCCTCAACTCCCACCCCATCCAGCCCTGTTTTCACATAATGACCTCTGCTTTCTTGACTTGCCTTCCAAAACTTAGGCACTTTGCTTGCAATTCTGGTTGACAACCACCAGGGGATAGTGGTTAGCCTTGGTTATAGCCCTAGCATCTGAACAGCTAGGCAGGATCTTTTGAGATAAAGTATTATGTTTTCTCACTCTTTTTTTTTTATTCCCACTGAATTTTGCCTTAAAAAAAACCTCTACAAAATAATTCAGCATAAATAGTAAAAAATTTTTTAAAGTCCTCTTTATCCTTATCTTTTATGTATCAGTGCTTTATCTATATCTCTAGCTTGAATAAAATGCTGCTTTCAAGGAATCAGAAGCTC